TTTTGTTCCCACCCCAGGAGGGGACACCTATTGCCTTCATTGAGAATGCATGCTTTAGAATTATGGTCTGACACCTATATTGAGCTTAGGAAAATGATTTGGTAAGTGCTATCAATACTTTCTATTCAATCTCTAAATAATTATTTTGGGCCTTAGTCAACTGAGTTTATTACAGATAAAAAATGTTGTCAGCATTAGTTATGTCTTAAGGCCTACAATTCAAATTTTGCCTCTAATTTACACTCTGATAATACACTGACTTGTATGAAACAATAGGAGAAACTTCCTTAACCTGAGATTGAGTTCAAGTTTAAATGATACAACTATGAGGGCAACCGTGTGGGGCAGTGGTTAAGCATCTGCCTTTGGCTCAGGTCATGATCCCGGGGTCCTGGGATTGAGTCCCACCTCAGGCTCCTGGCAGAGACCCTGCTTCTCCTTCTGCCTATATCTCTGCTTTCTCTCTATGTCTCTCATGAATAAATAAAATCTTTAAAAATAAAAAATAAAGTATACAGCTATATTCTAACAGAGAAAGAGTGAACATAGTGCTGTGTAGGATGGAAATAGGTAGACTCTATAAGTACCCCATATCCATCCCAAATAATTTGGGCCCATGGAGTGAAGAGGTAGGACCACCTTCTTATCCTCTCCTCAACTCACTTAATCATGCCTTTGGTTTTAACTATAACCAAATTGCTAATCACCCCAAATCTCTATCCCTAATTCACATCCTCTTCCTTACCTCCAGATCCATCTATCCAATATCTAATATCTATACTCAGATTTCCTCTAAGCGTATTTAACTCAATGGGCCCCAAACTGAATTTGCCCCTTTGCTTTCTTTTTATATCACCTAGATTAATGAATCACAATTAACTTCCTTAGCCATAAATCTGAGAGTCATTCTTGATTTTTTTTCTTGTTTTCTTTATGCAATCGAACTACAGTTCCCACCAATTTTTATCTCTAAGCACCTTGACCATTCTTGTTTGAGCCCAGATCCTCTCTCCAGAATGCTACCATAGCCTCCTAAGAAATTTCTGCCTCCAGTCTTTCCTTCTCTGTCTCCTTCATACTTCACACTGAATGGTCTCATTATAATGAAAGTGGAAACCACACCCCCCAGTTCAAAACTTTTCAATGCAGATCATCTCCATTCATTCCTTTGGTCTCATGTTTAGACTCCTGCCACAGTAATACATGTTCTCTTTTAAATTGCCTATCATCCCCAACTCACATCTTCTCATGAAGCCTCACTGATCTGCTTGGTGAATTTCAGGGAATATGCTTGGCTCAGCCTTCCAGAGTCAGCTGATCTGTACACATACTTCATTTGCTGCTCATCCGTAAGGTAATATTTTAGGGGCAGGCTCTGTCCCTTTGAGGAAGGGGTGTTGCAGGTTAGGACACGAATGTAATTCAGAAGGAAGTACTAAGAAGCCCCGTATGACTGTACATCTAAGCTTCATCATCCAATCCAGGTTTCTCTATGATAAAGGAACCTTCCTTTTGTTCCCCCAGAATATACCAAGCTTTCACACTTCCTTTCTTTGCACATGATATTCCCTCTGCTGCTTTTGGATTTGGAAAACTCTTCTCATGTTTGAAACTTCAGCTAAAATGCTATCCCAGATAGGCTGAAGTGTTCTTATTCTGCTGTCATTGAAGATTATCTCTACATTCATATAGAAATTATGAAATTACGTTGTCTTTAGTTGTCTGGATATTTAAATGTAGCTGGTAAATTCCTCCAGACCAAGAAATTTACATTAATTTATCATTGAATTACTAGAACTTAGCACTGAATGACATAATAGACCATCTGCAAGTAATTATTCAATAAATAGGTAAATAAGCTTACCATGTACTCTCATCTCCCAAAAAAAGATGGAATTAAAAAAAAGTATGTTGGCAGTATAATTATATGAGTACTAAAACTGGATTAAGAAGAAGTGCTACAATTCTTTTTATAATGTATGCCAACTTTAGTGAAAAGAGAATTATTGCTCTTTAGATGTGTCTTAACAGGATACCAAACTAAAAATAAGATTAGCTCTATTTATAACTCCCATTCTATAAACTCCCCAAATAAGAAATTATATATCAAATACCTAAAAAAGGAATACAATTCTTTTAGATAAAATCAGTCTTACAGAAAATTGTACACAATTGATTTTCAAGCTTGCATTGCAGCTTATGGGCTACAAAAATGCTGATCACACCATTTTATAAGATTCAGCCACAGAAAACTGTGTTTTGTACAGAGCATGGCACCACTATAATTCTATAGGATAGTATTATAGAATGAGAGTATAGGTATCTATTAACATCAAATGTTAACCCTCTCAGAACCATTCCCAAACAAAAACTGAGCTATTTTGGAACAAAAGAATACTAAAACATATTTGTATATCACCTCTTTGCAAAGTTATTGAAGATGGGATTTAAATACAACAGGGATATAATTAGGTAAAGAAATCAGGGGAAGGAAAGACAAGTATCAGAAAAACAAGATGCAACCCTCAGGGAGATTAGGACATAAATATATGACATTAGGTTCTATACTCTTTCCGAGGTTACATATAAATTTGGCCTCAGTTTGGCCAAATTCCTATCAATTTGCATGCTGTGCAAAAGCATAAACACAGGGGATCCCTGGGTGGCTCAGCGGTTTGGCACCTGCCTTTGGCCCAAGGTGCTATTCTGAAGTCCCGGGATCGAGTCCCGCGTCGGGCTCCTGGCATGGCGCCTGCTTCTCCCTCTGCCTGTGTCTCTGCCTCTCTCTCTCTCTCTCTCTATGTCTATCATGAATAAATAAATAAAACCTTAAAAAAAGCGTCTTAAAAATGTCAATTAAAAAAAAGCATAAACACACTAGTCTTTATTAAGCTCCTAGCTTAATAATATATCTTAGCACATAGCTTATTCACACCAATGCAATGGAATGTAAATAAAAGGTCAATACATCATAAAAAATCATATGTAATCCTAACATTTTCTTCTCACAAAATGTGAAACAATCTGTAGTGTGATGATGAAGCCTAAAACCAACCTGGACTTCAAGTACAATTTTGGTCTGTGAGGCCCAGACTTAGAATTTAACAAGAGGATATTTTTGAATGGAATGTCTAGAAGCCCATAGGTCAATATTTTAGAGGGGGAGAGAGGTGTTTTCTCTCCTAATAGCAGGTCATAATCTAACCTCAACTAAACCATATTCATAACTTTAATAAAAGCAAACAAATAGTGAAGACTCATAACTCTTTGTTGAGTTGTTGAGCCTTGAGTTGTATATCAATCATTGTGAAGGTAGGAAATCTTCGGGTATTTTTGTTTAAGTGATTATAGAATCCAGATATGTATTAATAACACTCCAGCAGAAACTTGGTATGGAAACTACAAAGTTTAGGGAACTTAACCTTGATTTATAAACTTAGAGAAGTGGAGTACTCAGAAAACGAATGAAATCTATACTTCAATAACTTTACATCAAATTAATACCTTGTATGGCTTTGCCCCTGAATCTGCCATAATCACTGGATGGTTAAGTCAAATTTAGGTCTTTCCATATTATAATACCTGACAACACTTTTTTTCAGATAGTAAAAAATTGATATGATTTATATTTCATAAAATCTTAGGTGACCTCTTCTAATTTCCTTTTCATATGTTACCCTACTGTTTTCTTTTCTTTTTTTTTTTTTTTTGTTTTTTTTGTTTTTTTTTTACCCTACTGTTTTCTTAAATGCTACCTTACTCCAGGGTTGTCTGCAAGCTAAGTATTCTTGTAAACCAGGCAGTAGGAAGAAGAATTTCCTAGACTATAGTACAGTTTAAATCGGTTTTAAATCATTAGTCACCTGATAATAGTAATTGGCAAAAGAAACCTCTCCTTCAAAGTACCTGAGGATGATTTTTTTTAAGTTTTAAAATTTTTCAGAAAGTAAATGTACCCATCATTTGCAGCCCTTCACTTGTGCCACTCTTATCTTCTAATGTCCCCGGGTCTCATTACAAATACAGACAGACTCTGAGATGAAAATAATGAAGTGGAAATCATCACTTTTCATGAAATCTAAAATAGTCATGGTAGTTTAGGATACAGGAACAATAACTAACGTAATCTATGATACTAGTTTCTAAAAGATATTATGGATAAATCCCCCCTGATTGACACCATGTTCTTCCTTTTCACTCCAACAGATTAGGTTACTAAATATGGGGAGACAAATTTTAGGTAGAAAATATATCTTTTTTTTTTTTTTGTATCTGTCTTTTTAAACTACTTCCAGGAAGAGCTCTCTCATACCCCAAAAATGCCATATTAGGAAGGCTCCGCTGAACATACCTCTTGTCATAGCACTGAGGTCCCCAGGAGCAACTTAACCAACTACAGAGTATGTAGAATAAATAAAAGTTGAAAGAACATAAAAAGGTGCCATATATCAAATTACAATGTGTCTCCTGACAGGAACTATGTAAGTATGAAGGCAAATCACATTCATCTTGCCGAGAAAATAATCAGAAAAATTCCTCATGTTTATAAGTCAGGAAACTTGTTCATGCCCCTCGGAGGTTAACAAGAAAAAGGCTTCCACTCTACTGTTATCTTTGACTGAAGGTTTTTCTCTGATAGCTAGAGATAAAAGTTCAAAATACATGACAATATAGGAAACTGAACATTCTGAAATCCAGGGCTATTTTGGGCATATGATATTAAAAACCAACAGAAAACCCAACGGATAAGGAGCCTTACCTTTAGAACAGCAACAAGCTACATTCTAGGAGAGTCTACTGTGAAGGCACTCACTCTACTGTTAAGTCATGTGAAGGGAGTATACTGTGTCTAAAAGGACACAGTCAGTGAACTAATTCTGGTGGTTCCCAGTGCTGGGATTCACTGGCTCAAAGTCTACTGGCTGTCTTCTTCTGCTGGCCTTGCTCCTGGCTCCCAAGCCATTCTAATGAAAAGAGGTTATACCATTTTGCTCAGATTATACCTGGAATGTTAAAAGATTCACCATCGTTGAAATGATCCTGATGCCAAAATCATAAATGAGTGCATACGTTCTTGGGACAAATGGGTGGCCATCTGAAAAAAAAAATGAATTTGGATTAAAGCTTCACACTTTTTAATTTTATTTTATTTGAATTCAATTTGTCAACATACATTATAACACCCAGCACTCATCTCATGATTAAAGCCTCACAGTTAATATGAAGCCAAATCCAATGGCCAAACATTTAAACGTGAAAAAGAAAAACTGAAAGGACTGGAACAAAACAAATTTTTAGAACTTCAGAGTAGGGATGGTCTTTGACTATGACACAAAATCAAGAAGCCATTAACAAAAGTGAATTTAAGCATATTGAAGTAAAAAACAACTGCATGGCAAAACACATCTGTCTTAGTCCTCTTGGACTACTGTAACAAATACCATAAACTAAGTAGTTTATAAACAGTAGAAATTTAGGTCTCACAGTTCTAGAGGCAGATAAGTCCAAGACCAAGGTAACTGCAGACTCAGTGTCTGCTGAGGGCAACCTTCCTGGCTCATAGACAGCTCTCCCTTCACTGCAACCTCAAAAAGAAAGTAGAGGGGAGCTCTCAAAGGCCCCTCCTACGATCCCATGCATAAAAACTCCACCCTCATGACCTGATCACCTCCCAAAGACCCCACCTCCTAATCCCATCACCTTGGGGATCAGTTTTCAACATGTGAACTTTGGGGGAACACAAACACTCAGATCATACAAACACCATAAATAATATACAAAAGCAAAACAAAAAATAATTGACAACTCATATCACAGATAACATAAGAAGCTTCTAAAATTAAGAAAATTATTTCAAGACTAATTAGAAAAATGGCAAAAGATGTGTGAAGACAATTTACAAAAAAGGAAGAAAATGGTTAAATATTTGAAGATATGTTTAACCACACTCATAATAAGAAAAATACAAATGAAACTATATTGATATTATTTTTCACATCACAATAACAAGTATCTCCAAGTTTGATAATACACCATATTGTATATTGTATATGTGAAAAACATTTTCAAACCTTGCTAGTGGGAGTGTTAATTGATAAAACACCTATAGAGATCCATTTGGCAATAGCTAGTAAAATATAAAATTGCTTCAAAAGTTGTGCCTTTTTAAATTTATCCTACAGTATACTTGCACAAATGGAAAATACAACATGTACAGTATTATTCACTGAAGCATTGTTGTAAGAATCTAATTATAGTATATTAAAAAAATTGAATCCTACATGGCTATAAAAAATGAAAAAGCTGTTTTTATATATTAATAAATATATATAAAATATATAATATACATATATATTATATATAATGGAATATTACCTAGCCATCAAAAAATGAAATCTTGCCTTTTGCAATGACACAGATGGAACAGAGAGTATTATGCTAAGCAAAATAAGTCAATCAGAGAAAGACAATTATATGATTTCATTCATATGTGGAATTTAAGAAACAAAACAGAAGATCATATGGGGAAGGGAGGGAAAAATAAAAGAAGATGAAATCAGAGAGGGAGACAAACCATAAGAGACTCTTATCTCTAGGAAACAAACTGAGGATTGCTGGAGGGGAGGTGGGTGATGAGATGGTAACTGGGTGATGGACATTAAGGAGGGCACATGATATAATGAGCCCTGGGTGTTATATGCAACTGATAAATCACTGACCTCTACCTCTAAAATGAATGCTATACTATAGTTAATTGAATTTAAATAAAATAAAATGTAAAAGAAAAATATCTATAAGGCACATTATTAAATGAAAGAAGCAAATATAGAGCACTGTCTAGAATATGTTCTATTTGGGTTAAATAAAAATAATATATATATCCACCCAATTGACATGAACAACAGGAGTTAGAACTGAATAGATCCACCTATATGTGGATTTTTTAATAAATGATTTTTTAATAAATATAGTCATATAAATGTATTCTCTCTTCCTTACAATTTTCTTTATAACATTTTTTTGTCTAGCTTAAAATATAGTAAAAATATAGTATATAACATATAGCATACAAAATGTGTGTTAATCAACTTTATCTTATCAGTAAGGCTTCTAGTCAACAGTAGGCTATTAGTAGGTAACTTCGAGGGGGAGTCAAAATTTATAAACCGATTTTTTTTAAGTACACTCCATTCCCAGCATGGAGCCCAACATGGGGCCTAAACCCACAACCCTGAGATCAAGATCTGAGCTGAGATCAAGAGTCAGACACTTAACCAACTAAGCCACTCAGTGTTCCTCAAAAGTATACAGAGTGTTGACTGTGCAGGTGAGTGAGGGTGAGTGAGGGCTGGCATCCCTACCCTCTCATTGTTCAAGAGTCATCTATATTTACACCCTCATAGTAGTACACTTTTGAAAGAAAAGGGAGGTATTGGGCAGATGGGGCAAAAGAAACACTTTATTAATCCTGCTTAGAAATTTTCTTAAATATGACTGACCTCATACAGAAAAAAAAAAGTCAAAAGTTTAGAAGCACAACTAACTTTTATGAAATTCGAGAATATTTTTTTCTATTGATAAGTAAATACAGTTGTCATTTTTAATTCAAGGAACTGCCTCATACTTAAGCCAGAGAGATTTTTCTAAAAGTACAGTATTACTTTATATCTTGTGATTTCAAATGATATGAATATATTACCCTTCAAAAGATGAAATAAGTTTAAATTTAATTTTTAAAAATTAGTGGGAAAGTTCTAGTTTAAAGTAATTGCAATGGACTGGATGTGTCTGTCTTCACTCCCCAAATTTATATGTTGAAATCCTACCCTCTAAGATGTGACAGTACTAGGAGGTGGGATCTCTAGGAAGAGATTAGTGCTCCTCTGAAAGAGACCCCAGAGAGCTCCCTTGCAGCTTCCACCATGGGAGGGCAAACAAGACCACCATCTATGAACCAAGAAACTGGACCTCACCAGACATCAAATCTACCAGTGCCTTAGTCTTGGACTTTCAAACCTTCAGAATTGTGAGAAATAAATTTCTGTTGTTAATAAGTCACCCAGTCTGTGGTATTCTGCAGGTACAAAGATCAAGTCATTTGGATGGAAGGGCAGAAATTCTGAGAAGCAACTAAATTCCCTATCCTTTTCTCATATGAATAGAGGGCAGCTGATCACAGCATTTCATTCCACTTGGATAGGCTGTTGGGATTGGAGGAATAAAGGCAGAAAAAGGCCCAAAGTAACTTTGGCTCCCAAAAACAAAAATAGAACATACATACAAGTATATGTGTGTTCTGGAGGCTCCTAGAACACTATGATTAGCTGCTGCTCAGAATCAGTTCCACCCCAAGAAGGCCTCCTTACTTTGCTTATTACCTGCTCATCCCTTGCCCATGAATGTATAGGATGCCTGAGCCACAGAAACCACCACTTATTCAAAGTCAGCCCTCCATTAGGAGAGAGAACTTCTGGGTAATCAGACCTATACTATTGTTCTCAGATCTGTACAAGCCCAGGCTGCCTACCTATACTGACCAACATGGTCCTTTATCCTTAAATATAGTCAGACAGCCAAATATCTGAGAAAAAGTTAAAGCATGAAAGAAAAGATCAACGAGCAACAAACATTTGATCAAGAAGAAAGAGAAGAGGCAAGGAACAGAAAAGAACTTTCATACATTAAAAATAGTATTTGCAAGGATATTTAAGAAGATATTGAAGAATGAAAATAGGCTGCTATAAAAAAAAGATCAATAAAGGGTGGCTAGATGGTTCAGTTGGGTAAACATCCAACTCCTGGTTCAGTTCAGGTCATGATTTCATGGATCGTGGGATGCAGCCCCCTCTGAGGCCCCATGCTCAGCGTGGGGTCTCCTTGAAGATTTTCTTCCTTTATCCATTACCCTGCACTCATGTACACACACTCTAAAAATTAAATAAATCTTTAAAAAAGTTTTTAACTAATTTTAAAAATATCAAGAAAATAGGCTTTAAAACAGGACTGTTAAAATAAAAAGTAGGAAAGCTAAGTAATGGAATTAACAGAATGAACAAAGTTAAGGACTAAATTAGTGATCTTGAAAATAAAGTCACAGAAATGGTCAATATAACTAAAGAAGATAATGCAAGGAAGAAAAAGAAATATTAATAGAACAGAATGTCATTGGGAGAAAAACTAGAATTCTCAAAATAAAGGAGTTCACCAAGTAGTAAGGAGCATGAAAGAAAAACTATACTTAGGTACATCCTCATGAAATTTTAGAATTTCAAGTACAAAGAAAAGATGTGAAAATATCCCAGAATGGTTAAGAGATAAAACCAAAAAAAAGCATCTAAATAGCAACACTTAAGTTTCTGTAGAAACTTAAAAGGATTTGGAATCTAGAATTCTATACTCAGATTAATTTAACTATTAATCAAGGGTAAGGGAAAATAATAACATTTTCAGGCATATCATAATGGCTAATATTTATTTTACTTACTATGAACCAGGTACTTTGTAATTATTAACTTCTTTAATCCTCAGAACAATCCAATTAATTTGGTTCTATTATCCCTGGTTTCACAAATGAGAAAACAGAGGCATAGAGAGGATGAGAAACCTGCCGAAGATTATGCTACTTGGAGGAGGCAGAGCTGGGCTTTGGATCCAGGGAGCTTGGCTGCAGAGTACATGCTCTTACTTATGACACAATAGTGTCACTCTGTTGTTCAGGCACTCAGAAAATTCATATCCCACATAGCCTTCTTGAAAAAAAAATTACTTGAGGATATACTTCAGTAAGATGAAAGAGAAATCCAGGAGATAATGGCAGTGACCTGAGAATCCAGAGGTTTCAGGATGACAGCTCTGCAGGATGCCAAGGAAATCAAAATAGAAAATCAGAAAGGAAATTCTTTTTTTTTTTAAGATTTTATTTATTTATTCATGAGAGACACACACAGAGAGAGAGAGACATAGGCAGAGGGAGAACTAGGCTCCCTGCGAGGAGCTGGACGTGGGACTCAATCCCAGGACCCTGGGGTCACAACCTGAGCCAAAGGCAGACATTGAACTACTGAGCCACCCAGGTGCTCTCAAAAAGGAGATCCT